GGGGGAACCGGCGCCGGCACCTCGTCCCGCGGGCTGCAGCGTGGGGCCTCCGCGTTTATCGTCCCGGGAAGGGGCAGGCAATTTGGGGGGGAAGGAAAGAGCCAAGCGGGTGGGCCTGGGCTGGGGGCCGGGACCCTGGGACTGAAGCACGTCTCCACCCCCACGTACCCCTGGCTTTCTGCAGTCCTGGAGCCGGCAGGGCAGCTCAGTGACGCCCAGAGGGCTCGGGGGAAGCGCGCCGGGAAAGCAGGTAGCTGAGAGGAGTAGATTATTTAAATAAAAAGGCTGGCCTAATGGGGAAAAACATCAGTCGGGGTCCTGCCCGCTGGGGTTGTCTTCCCAGTCGCAGGCTATCTTGGTGTGCTCGGACACGTCATTTCACCTCTCCAAAACCCTTCAGGAAAGGGTACGAATTTTTCCTGCCTTTCTCCAGCGTCTGTCCACAGCACAAAGCAGCTCCATTTGACCTTTAACTCGGGCAGTTCGTAAGCACTTTCGGGGCAGGGACTGCCTTTTATCACCTCTTTACACGGCACCCAGCCAAGGAGACCTGCCCCATCCCAGGTGCGGTCCCTTGGGCACTTCTTTGTACAAATAAAGCAGATGTGAATATTTGGCAGGTGGAAGGAAGACCAGGTCTCTCCTGAGAACAGGCAGACACCAAAGGAAAGCAAGGGATGGTTCTTTGAATCAGAGCTACTTCTCTCCTCGTGATGGCTTTTCTGCATTTTCTTCCCTGCTAGAAAAAAACCCAAGCCCGGGCTGCCAGGCTGCGTCGCCGGAAGGAGGGCGCGTGTGGGGAAGGAGGGGTTGGCCGCAGGGTGTTGGGTACAACAGGGGCTCACCTCTCTGCCGCCTCCCCCTTGGCCGCGGTCACTTAACCCCACCTGGGAAAACGCAGGGCCCGAGGTTGGCAGGCTGCCGTGATGCGCTTGAGGCGAGGGACCGGCCACGTTGGCTTTGCACCCAGCGCTCCCAACCACGCAGCCAAGAGAAACGGGCCCTGCTCCCCTCCGGCGCCCGCCTTCCCCCTCCGCTCCCGGAAATGTCACCCTGTCCACCCCCCACCCAGCCACCAAAGTGG